GAGACTCTCCTTAACTGCTTCAAAAGCATTATGTTCGGTGTTACCCCAACACCAACCCACATCCTTTTAAGGAGATTGGACAATGGCCGAGCCATATCTGCGTAATTTGCACTATACTTATGTAAGTAATTGGCAAGGCCAAGCCATTTACGCAAGTCCTTTTGGTTCTTGGGGACTGGCCAATCGACTATGGCTTTTACCTTAGCGGGATCCGCTCGAAGGCCTCGCTTCCCAATGAAGCACCCTAGAAAGGGAATCTCTTCTGCACCAAAGATGCACTTCGATGCGTTCGCATACAGCTTATTCGTTCGCATGCACTCGAGCACAGCTCGTAAATGATCAATGTGGTTATCCACATCTGATCGCCCATTCATTGCACGACTATGGACAAAAATGTCATCAAAGTACGTTTGTGCATAGCCTCGATGAGGTCTGAATAGTTGCGTTACCAACCGGTTAAACGTAGCCGGGGCGTTAGATAGCCCTTGCGGCATAACGAGCCACTCCCAAAGCATACCGCTCGGAGTACTCACCGCTGTTAGCGGAATATCGCTTGCTCGCATGAGCAGTTGGTAATAACCATCGACTAAGTCGAGTGCACTGTACAGTGTACATCCCGCCATATTGTTCTGAAGAACATCCTTTCGAGGAATAGGCGTCTGCGCCGGTATAGTAGCTGCATTAAGCTTATTGTAAGCATGCACAATACGCCACTTGCCATTTGGCTTTTTGACACAAAATGTCGGTGTTGAGTGGGGAGACTTGCTCTCACGAACCATCCCAGCCGCGTGCTTAGCACGAAAGAAATCGTCAATGACGTCGCACTGTTCTTTAGGCAAAGGCCACTGCCGTGTTACACAGTATTTAGTTCCAGGAACCAAGTCAATCTCATGACGTACACCTCTATCGGGAGGTAAGGCAGAAGGTGGGTTGTGACACACCACATCTTGAAATTCCTTGACTAAAGGATAGAACGGATCCGACGGATCTTTAAGGATCGAAGATCCACTTCGTGCACTAAGTGCCGCCTTTGTATCCTCTAGGACAGACTCATCCATTAACGAGGAAGAGTTCAACTCAGTATCAGGTCTAATGACCGCTAACTCGGATAACTCTCCTGCCTTCAAGGCCTGGCTAAACTCGCCATCAGACATTTCGTCTAGCTCACAAAGAGCGTCCACGGATGGAAGGGTTTCAAGGCAAACACTGCCATCAACCCGACCAGTCACTCCATTAACAAGTGTATACAGTGTATTGATAATCTCACTATGTGACTGTGAGGACGCCTGGCGCTTTACAGCTGCTACTCGGCGTCTCGATTGTCTCTTCGAGACCTTACTCCCCTTAGGGGTCGGGACAATATTGTCCCCATGGTTACTACCAACCATAGTATGCTCTATACGAGAGCTTTTGTCTTGACCGACATTAGGTGTGGTGCCCTCACGGCCGCCCACACCATATGGCGAATCGCCAACAACGCCATTACCGGCGTTAAGCGTGGTGCCCTCACGGCCGTCCACACTATACGGCGTATCGCCAACAATGTCATTACTGTCATTAGATGTGGTGCCCTCACGGCCGCCCACACTATACGGCGTATCGCCAACAATGTCATTACTGACATTAGGTGTGGTGCCCTCACGGCCGCCCACACTATACGGCGTATCGCCAACAATGTCATTACCGACATTCAGTGCGGTGCTCTCACGGCCGACCGCACTCGGTGTAGTTTCACGTGCCACCATACACACATCAAAGGAATCACGTCCTTGATCACTCGGCCCTAGGGCCAACCATGCTTTCAGCATGCAGTGACTCGTTATCACAACGAGTACCACTCAACGGAGTACGTGCCGTTTCACTAGTTTTAGACGAGCTAGGCTCGAAACTTATGTTTGTAACATGGGAGTTAGATAACTCGGACATTCCAATATCCAGCACATTGACATCTTCTGTCAAAGGCTCGCGCCAATAGCGCTTTTGCTGCCTAGCAAAGGTGGGTTCATGACTCTCCAAAGCTTCGCTAGGAACATTGCGCGTAGCGCCTAAGGTCTTAGACCTCCAATCAATCCATGGCTCATGGCGCTCAAGCCAAGCCATACCTAGGATGAGATCATATCTCGAGTCCAAATCTAGGACAAGACAGCGCTCAATACTGTCAAAGTCTAAAAACGTTATACCTAAGTTCAATGGAACTTTAGGCACCGTTACGCGACTTCCAGTCGCTAAACGAACCGTGATAGAATCACCCTCATGCGCTGTAAGCGCCTCAACATAACGCTGACTTCCCTCAAGGGAACGGCGTCGAGCATAATTGCAAGACGCTCCAGAATCGATCAATATCGACCAAGGCTTCTCGAAGCCCTTAATTTTCGCCTCGGCGACCAACAAGCCAGACTTGTATCCACGCACCATACCCGTAGGTATGGTACTCTTTGGGGCTAAGCCCTGCATTCCTTTACCTCCTAAAGGTGTAACAGAACATAGTTCTTCCCCAGTAGGGCGCCCCGCGCCTACTGGGTGTCGGCATTTCCCGTGCCATGCCAGACTTCTGACTCGGGGTCGAGTGTTGGCTCGTAGTCTGGCGTTGCTTACGCAAAGGGCAACCAGGCCGCAAGTGTTTAGTGCTTCCGCACATAAAGCATCGTCTTACAACGTGTTGCTGCTCAGCAGCTCGAAGCTCAGCTTCACCTCCATCTTCAGCATAGCTGAGATCCATCGGTTCCGGCCTATTATAGGCAGTGGTACCCGAATAGTTTGCTCTCACAGAGCGAGGATTGTATCCATTCCAACCAAGTCTGGCCGACTTGAAATTATGCTCAGCATTAAGAGCAATTCTCACAGCCTCTTCAAACGTAGAGGGGTGAACCCGAAAAACCTCGGTTCTGGCAATGCCAGTACGTAGACCTTCCATGAAGATAGTCACATGGACTGCTTCAGGCAGAGGGTCAGACTGCATTGCAGCCATGAGCGTTCGCAGCTCTTGGACATAGTCCGATAATTCATTCTTACCCTGGCGGGTAGAAAGAAAGCGTGAGCGCACGCGGTAAGCCTGGTTAGGTGGAGAAAACACCTGTACCAATTGTGATTTGAGCGACTCCCATGTGGGAAACGCTATGTCCACCGACGTGCTACACGTCAAGGCCCATTCTCTAGCTCTACCATCGAGCTTCGAGATAGCCAGCGAGACCTGTTGATGGTCAAGCGTGATCAGGCCTGATCTCATGGCCATCTCGATCTCACGGATCCAGAGGATGAGATTCTCACCCTCCTTGCCGGAGTAGTTTTTTACGTCCACTTTAAGTGGACGAGGCTTAGCCTCTTCGTCTGGTACAGACACGAAGCGTGTAGGCATAGCCGACGCTATTTGGTCTTGGACCTGCCCTAAAAGGGTCGCTTCATACTGCATGAAGCCGTCAACACGTGCATTAAGCACTTCAGGACCTTGTGAAACAAGAAACTCCACGTACTCTGGACCCAAAGATGCGGTCAGCTTGTCAAGCGCGACCTTTTGGGCCTCAGATAGGGGAGTGATGCTTTCCATCCTCACAGAGGATCAGTCTTAAAGACTCAGGCGTAGATTGACTACAAGTGCTACCAAGTGTAGCGGAGCTACACAGCTCCTTAAGTCAGAGGAAGACTTAACGCTCTACGAGCAACTTAGTTCCAAAGAACTAACGACTTTACGAGTCAGCAAGCTTTACAGCTTCAGATCCCTGTTCCAGGGGACCTAACGATTCAGTGAATCGACAGCACTTAGTGCTCAAGAGTAGCTACCTCAAGGAGGTGTTGCTAACTCTTAGTGATCAGAGATCAACGATCAAGACGGCTCGCAAGCCACGCGTCTTTCAGATCAAAATGGGAACTGATTTTATTTAATGTTAAAGCCTATAGAATATCTTAATCCTACTCAAAGATCTTTCGTATCTAATGGCTGACACTTGTCAGCCCCTACAAACCGATAAGATATTCTATATCACCTTCACAGAAGCGAACCCTCAGGTGTGTAACACCTCTGGTACAAAGTACCATGATTTCGTGCAACCCCGTTACAAAACTCGAGGCGACGTGAGCTGATCCTGTTGAGTTACGCGGGGTCTGCAACCTTCAGGATCCGTAACTTGCCGTCACTGGGCCGACTTATGCGCTCAGCAGACTTTCATGTGTGTGTATCTAAAGACGCTCGAGGACAAGTACTCGCTCGATCCATAAAGCTCGTACATCTTTTGGTGCAGCTTGGTAGATGCGTCCCCATTGCACGCGCTTGCGAGATGGACATGAGCTTTCTGTCCCTGAGTAGACAACGTCGCAGCTCAAAAGTCGGTTCACACACTATCACTGCGTCGCACTCGTAGTTTCCCACATCTCTGCGTTGTCCGGAGACCATTCGCTTGCTCTCTGCTGCTGTAAAAGGCTCAAAGACGTGTCGGCATTGCGAAACGGGTCCATTCAACTTGTCCGCTGCTCCATGATGACAGAGATTGCGCTGCTGCTTTAAGATGACGAACATTGACAGGACGAGAGCACGAACACCTCTCATTCGTCGACGTGATCCACGAGATTATCTTGCTCGCGCATGCCAATGCATCGTCTTGACACAAGCGCTTCGTGGCCGCATTTGCACACATACCCAACTTTGCCATTACAATAATTACCGCCACCTCCTACCACCAATACACCAACCCGGTCTTCACAACTACTCACAGACTCTTGCCAAACCGCCTAGTAACGCCTTAGGTGTCGAGGCAACTGCCGCAAGTCACCACGCGGTCGTCCGCCAATCTCGTTGATTCCTCCTTTCAACAGCCTTGTCACATTCATCCAAAGCGCTGGCTCTGGGACACCTCAGGGTGAAGACCTTCCTGCAAAAAGTACTTCTCAACTGCATCCGCCACACCACGACCCTCGTTGATCGCCCACACAACTAGAGATTGGCCGCGCCGACAGTCACCGGCTGCAAACACGCCCTCGACCGACGTCCGGTAGCCTCCATAAGCAGCTCAAATGTTGCGGCGCTGGTCCACCTCCAGCCCAAGAGCCTCCGCGATCTTCTGCTTCGGATGGACGAACCCCATGGCAAACAGCACAAGGTCGCACGAAATCTCCTCTTCTGTATCGTCCATTGCTTGCTGAAAGCGTTGTTGACGCTCTTCGTCCATCTCCTCGGCAGTTTTTCCCTTAAATAGCCGCAGTGCCGTATTTTCGGAGACTGTTGGCGTCGAATGGTTCTCGATCACAATGTCGTCTTCGTCAGAGCAGTCATAGACCAAGTCCATCTCATCGCCAACAAGCTTCGGCGTCCGAATAGGCGACGGAGGATTCAATTTCATCCACCTGTGCGTCTCTTCTTGAGTCTCCATCTGCATAGAATCCCTCGCTCGCTCGCTTGGTCATCATCGAAGCGCTACATTCTGACGTGTCCCTGAAGATAGTGAGGGAGTTGAGAGGCACTTGATCAAGTAAACCGTCGGGCCGACCAGGAGAACAGCGTGTACACGTAAGCGAGCCAGACGTTGTGCGTCGTGCTTCGAGGCGACGACCGAGTCGTTGCGTCGAAGGACGGACGTCGCTTTGTCTGTCCACTGCGATCACGAGAGGCGCCACGTGGAGAGCACTGACGGAAGGATGTGCTGGCTTGTGATACGATGCGACATGTGCCATGAGCCCGAGGTTCTTGCCAGCCACTAAGCGATTTACACGGAACTTGACGTGGCGGACACCGTCTCGCGACCACCGGAGCATGGGGACGGGCAACTCGCTGGCGACGAGCCGCGCAAACCTCGTGAGCAGCCGCTTGTCCGTTCGATTCGTTTGTTTGCTTGCTGCCGCGTGTTTCTCCACGGGGCTCGCGCAGTCCTCGTCCGAGCGTCGTCCGGTGTTCTACTTCATCGGCGACTCCCTCACCGAGTACGGCAGTGACCCGGCCAAGCGCGGCTTCGTCACGACCGTGCAGCACCATCACGTGCGAGCTGTCGACTGCGTCAACCGCGGCCTCTCGGGCTACAACTCCAAGTCCGTTGACCTGCGCTCGGGTTTGTGTGACGGCGTGACTGAGCTGCCTGTGGATGTCGTACTGACTTTGGTTATCTGATGTGTCCCTGACCCAGATGGGTGCTGGAGCACGCCATGCCCGTCTATGTCGACGAGCTGCAGGGCCAGTACTCGGCGTCCCTTGTGACGGTCTTCCTTGGGGCCAACGACGCCGCGCTCGAGCACGGACCCGACGCTGCGCAGTTCGTGCCCCTGGAGGACTATCGAGCCAATCTGCACGAGATCGTGCACCGCGTGCGCCCCCTTTTGGCTCCTCACGGCCAAGTGCTTCTGATCACGCCGCCCTGTGTCATTGACTCGATGCGTCAAGGGGACCGCAGCGACGCCTCAGCGGCCAAGTACGCGGAAGCGTGCGTCCAAGTGGCTGCGGCCAAGAATGTCCATGTGCTGGACCTGCACACGTACTTCAACTCGATGTACCCGGCGGAGAGTGCTCGCAAAGCGTTCTTTGTGGACGGACTGCACTTGTCGGCACAGGGCAATGAGGAAGTGGGCAAGTTGCTGGGAGTCGCGATCAACGGCATGTTTGGGAAAGACGAACTGGCGAGGTTTGCCAAGTGGCAGTTGCCGGACTGGAAGGATTTGGTTCCTCGCGTCCCCGGAGCGGAGTCGCAGTTACTGGGCGGGGATGCGACTGGAGTCGCTCGGGGGGTGATGGAGCTTTTCGATTGCCATGAGGTTTCAAACAGCTCCTGGTACTCGTCGCCTGCATGTAAGTGATCAACTGAGCGCTTAACCTTTGTGAGTCCATCAACCGTTCTAGGTTCGTTGAACACGTTCATCCCAGCAAAGCCGTCAGTGTAATGAGCTCACCTGGCATCGCTTCTACCTACGATTCGTTTCATCCAGCGTCATTGCTCGTTCTCAATCTCACGTTCAGCCCCATGTACACTGACGGATTGCCGCCGACACACGTCTGTGCTACAAATTGGACGTCAGAATGTGTCGGCACAATCAATACCAATAGCTCTTGGAACGACCACGAGGATGCCACGTTTCCGCCTTCGTAGCAGGGTGTCGCCTCGACAATGAAGCGCTACCAAGTCGATTCTGATGCGCATACGATGCACTGCAAGTGGAGACTTACCTGCTGTTTGTCGTGGCTTGAATATGGTACGAAAGATGCACGCCGAGGCCTCGACTGAGCCTGAACCGTTTTGCAAAGACTGCCATTCTATCACAGCACACAACACGTTGAGCTGTCGCACTCCCGCGCTCTCACAACCGCCAAACCACTGCCGAAAGGCGGCAATAAGCAGCTTCATGTGCGGCGTATCGATAACGCCATCTTCCCTAGCAAGGGTGTCCTGTAACGGGGTGAATCGTAACATAACAATTTATAAGAAATTGTTGATAGAATGTAACTATAAAAGTTATATTCTCAGAATATTGTCATTCGGACAAATACTCTTTAGCACTTGCGAGTAGTTCCTAATTGGTTGATATAGGCCATTATGTCAACCAACGAAGACGCGCCACGACAGACGCACGCAATGAGTGGTGAGCAGGTAGTTGATTTATAAATTTGTATTCAGACATAGTTAGATGAGGATAAACAGTGGTTTATTAACAGACTTTAACTATGACAAATACAGTTCTACTTTTTACTTTAACCAAGTACTCGCTTCTCCTTACCGTCTTCCTCTGCACGTACCAGTGTACGTGGAGTTCCGAGGCACCGCCTTATTCATGTAGTCAGAATAAGTAGCTTGTACTGTCATCAGTACAAGCTTCAGGGTGCCCCGTTACACCTGGTAGCACTTCGTAGTCCGTCCAATGACCACGTTCACATCTAACATGAATATGTTGGATGATGAAGATGACCAAAGCTTTCACGCTACGCGTGACGGCTACTCCCATTTGAGTGTTGTCGAATGGGATGCGGTTGAACGGATGGGTACAACCATGGGAATCCATGCTGTTAGCGTCATGCTAGAGGCTCTCAATAGAGATGCCCAACATGCTACTATCGCCAAGTTCATTCAAAATGAACTTGACACAGAACGCGAGAAAGTAGCCTTGCTTCACCAACAAGGTTCTTAACAATCAGAGTTGTTGAGAGAACAGGGTGCTCAGCAGTTTGAGCTGTTCAGACAGCAGCAGGCTGCTGCTGGTGGGTCGATGCACTCGCGTCGACCCGAGACCTTGAAGATTGACATCTCCAAGTATAGGGGAGTCGAAGGGGACTCCCTCTTGAGATGGTTCGTCGAATTGGATGACGCCATAAGGGCGCGTCGCATCGACGACGGGGATATGCAAGTTGCATTTGCCCAGTCAAATCTGGCAGGACGTGCCAAGACTTGGGCACTGGGGCTCAAGTTGCACGACCCATATGCGTTTGGGTCGTTAGGAGTCTTCAAGTCGCGGCTCAGGCAAACGTTTGAACCGCCTAGAGCTGAGTTCAGAGCTCGAACTGAACTCTTGAAGCTCAAGCAAGGTAAGCGTGATGTGCACGCTTACGCGCAACATATACACATCTCACGAGTTGTATAAGTTCCAACCCGATTGATGAACACACGTTGGTTTCGGTGTTCATGCAGGGTCTTGCGATGGTCCCTTCAAGACTCACCTGTTCCGACTTGAACTGGATTCACTGGAACATGCCATTTCCATTGCGGAACACGAAGACTTCAGTCTGGGACAGGCTCGCGCCAGCTCGACATCGTATCGTCCACCGAGACGATATGACAGTGGAAGTCCAGAGCCGATGGAACTCGGTTATGTAGAGAGCGAGAAGGCTCGCTCTACAGACTACAAGAAGTTGTAGAAATGCAACAGATGTCAGAAGACAGGACACTACGCTTACGAGTGTAGTGCCCCTCGTCCAGTGTCTCGCAACACTGGGCGTAGTGACCGTCCACCCATGAGAAAGGGGCAGGGACGCGGGTCCGCTGTTGGTGCGAAGACTCAACAACGGGATGGACCGTCAAAAAACGGACAGGATTAGTAGTTGCGGAGCACCCTACTGATCCAGCAACGTCAAGAGAATTTGTAGGCCTCTTGATGAAGGTTGCTCCCAACACACAAACGTTGTGCGTTGCTGCTCTAGGTAATGAGATCTCACTCATTATCTTGAAACTCGAAGTGACGAATAAGTTGTCCCTTCGAGCTCTAGTCGAGTGTGGGGCGTCCAACAATTTTGTGCGACGCCAATCGCTAGAAGATGGTCACTTCAAGTTCAGTGAATGTGACACACCTCCTACGAGGATGACGGTACGTCTTGCGACAGGGGCATCCGTAACCGTCATGAAGCGTATAGTGAAGATCCACTATACGCTAGAAGACACCCAATATGATGATGACTTTATCGTATTGGATTTGGATGACAAGTTTGATGTCATCCTTGGAATACCGTGGCTCAGAAGGTACGAACCACGGGTAAACTGGCAACATCGAACAGTAACGATGCCTGCCGCTTGTTCATCAGATGGCCATCTGATGAACGTTTTGGAGCGTCCACAAGCGTGTGGATGTACTACGAGTGAGTGCGATGGCCTCACTTGTGGTACGGTCGTTAGTACGACTGCACAAAACCTTAGTGTAACAAACAGTTACACTTCGGAGCAAGATTCCGGCGGCTGTGGAGAAACACAGGCTGCGCCGAAGGTCCACCACTCGAATAAGTCGAGTGGACCGGGACAAAGATGTATCCCTAGCGGGGAACATCTAGAAGAGAAACAATCGATCGCTCAGGTTACGATAATCCTAGATCGACTGGAGAGTCTTTCGTAGAGGACCTCGCTGTGGTTGCGCAACCCCAGCTAGAGGAAGTTAAGGGAATAAGTCCCGATATTACAAATACGGTGGAAATAAGTTCCCCGAAACTCGAAGGAATAAGTCCCCGGGAAGCCGAAGGAATAAGTCCTTCGAGGCCTGAGGGAATAAGTCCCCAGGAAATGACAGAGACAATGAATGTCATAGTCAATGATGGATCACGCGTAGGCGCTTATACACTTGATCTGATTGCGCCTCCGAAGTTGACTTCGGAGATCACCCAGTTGCCAATGCTCGAACATAAAAGGTGCTTGCGTGATCTGCGTAGTGGCAAAGTCAAGCAGATCTGCGTACTCGTCGCTGACGACGAGTGTGTAGCCGACATAAGGTCAGCAACAGTGTTCACTGAGAACGAGAGAGTTCTCAGTAGTTCATCTATGGACGAGAGTGTCCTCGATGAAAAGACACGAGTTGAGCGATATGACTCCCAATCGTGGGAATCACTCAAGACAAATCCTCTCTATAAGGATTTGGTTAAATTCAAGGATGTATTCCCTGAAACTGTTCCGTGCGAGTTACCGAAGGATAAAGGTACTCGACA